TCATACGGCAAAAAAGTCTATTTACTGACAGTTGACTTCTGACCTCAAGCTACAATGTCCCCATTTATGTCATATTCTACCATTTCCACAGTACTCATCTCTTTTTTCCCTGCCTTTGTGTCTGCTCACCCTTTCCTCCCCTCTGTGAAGCCTGAAGTCAACTAAAGAGCTAATGATAACTATCAAAACGCCTGTCATTTGATATAAATAAATAAAACTAACTTTCAAGATGGGTTTCAAGAGACTCATTACCGGTACTCTGCAAGCTTTATTAGATCAAGTGATTCAAAATAGCAATTTAATTTATACTTGATAATGTTTAGTCTTTGTTAATGGCTCTCTTGAAGTAGGAGTTAAAAATCCAGGTTTTAAGACTCTAGTTCTCAATTCATCAAACACAAATTACATGACCTTGATTAACTTATATTTAGTAGCAGGGAGAACTAAGGTGCTCAAATTTTTGTTATTTGGAAAGAATTGTTTAGCACCGAATTAATTCTTATAAATTTTGAAATCCCAGGCCTATTAATCTAAGCTGAAAGCTAAATGTGATTTTAGGTTCAACGCTTGGTTGCCTATATTGACACCATAACACCAGAAAATTGTGCTTCCAAACTTCCTGCTGAACTTCAAATGCCCTCAGGTGTCAGCTACGGAGCTGAGGTTCAATTTGAAATGGAAGGACGTATTGCTCTCCGATTGGCACACTTTCTTTCTGCCTACTATCAGAATAACATAGTTGGCGAGCTCTACGGAAACCTTAAAGTAAGCGAGCCATGATGTCTGTGCTACTTATAAAATTAAGTAAACATGAATGCATCTTTTCAGTCGGGTGCTCCATTGAACCGTTTCGAGTTATTTGGCGAAGTCTATGCCAATGTACTTTCAAGCTTCCAAATTGTCTCTTCAGGAATATTCTTCGATAATCAAGCTTTTATTGATCATGAAGGCACAACATGGGACCTCTTTGCCCCCTTCGCTTACAAGCCAACTATGGCTAACCAAGTTGCGGAGGCAATAGATATGAGCGCTCATGGTTACAGAAACTACACTGAACAGTCGTGGTTTAGAATACTGAAGGTACTTTAACTTAACCATTGCCTATTGAAATGCTGATTCCTTCACTAAAACTACATCCATTGATACAGGAACGCTGGGCGTCAAGTCGTCAAGGGCTTGAAAGGATAACCACGAAGCCTTTCATTCGAAGTAACATAAATGGAACACAAGTTCAGAGATATTTCAATTTCCCCCTATTTTATCGGGTGCCGAAATACGAAGATGGCCATTGGACTGAACCGTATTATGTATGCGAGGGATTTTTCAATGGATGGGTAATTACCTATGCAACCCCATTTTTCGGCTATTTGGACAATCGTAAAACACTCGATTTCATGTAAATTACAGGAATTGCAACAATTGCAGACACCAATGGACCGCCTCATTAGTTTGTGTTCATTGTAGGGGTGTAGTGACAATATCAGTGGATCTTCATCAGTTGGATATCAATCAATGCCCCCAATCCTTCTATACACCGAATTTCTTCAAGAATACCGCGAGGTGTGACTTCCAAAATACTTATGTAAGAGATGCTATTTCTAGATATGACTATATATATAAAGAAAATAGTAGTTCAAATTCAATTGATATAAGAAAAGCCTATATATCATGCAATTATTTTTGTGGAATTTGCTTAAGTAAATTGTTTAGCAACAAGACATTGCGAATTACTGCGAACATCGTCTGAATAACATATTTTTCTTCACAATTATGGTTTTTTGTGTGAAATACATGATGATAAACAAAGTGGTGAAGGTAATTAATGTTTCTAATAATTAAATTATTAGAAAATTTGTTATATTTAGAGCTTCTGTCTATATCGTTAAAGTTGGTGTCGGTATTTAACCTCTCATACGGCGAATGAATGAATGAATTCTAATGAGCATCTTTTCATGAAATACCTATCTTCAGATCACCTGTAGCATATAAATTTATTTGTTTATATCAAATGGCAGGCGTCTTGATGGTTATCATTAGGATATCAAATGGCAGGCGTTTTGATAGTTATCATTAGCCCCATATCAAATGGCAGGCTGTTCCCAATTATTTATTTATTTATATCAAATGGCAGGAGTTTTGAAGATAGTTATCATTAGCCCTGTATCAAATGGCAGGCGTCTTGATGGTTATCATTAGCCCTTCAATTAACTTCAGGCTTCACAGAGGGGAAGGAGCATCAAAGTTAAAAAGTTGAGGGGGGGGGGACAGAAGAGTGTTTCAAAGATGTTAGAGACAAACACAGAGGTAGAACAAAGGTGAGGTGAGTACTGTGAAAATATTCGAACATGGCTTCGAGTGAGGTGATGGTAGTTTGAAGTGAGAAGTCAACTGCCAGTCAATAGACTTTTTTTGCCGTATGAATATACGTTGCCCATGGTGCACCAAGTGGAGGTAAGTCTATTGCGCACCCCCCAACCTGTTACAAATAAATAAAATACTCTAGTTGCTTAACCTTTGAGGCAAATTCTTTTTAGATCGCTTTCAGCGCCCTTTTTAAATATGTATAAAATAGAAGTCTCCATTTGGCTGAAAAACGCAGTTTCAAGAATATTCGTCTTAAATAAAGCTGAAAGTCAGCTAAAGGTTACCTAGCTATCACATTTTAACTAAATTTTGAATTTATTAAACGAGTCAGAGGAGGGGGTTGATTCATTTTTGCGATAATAATAGGAAATAAGGAATTGTTCATTAAAACACTGGCCTTTTCACTATCATTAACCAATTGACAGTCAATTTACTCCTGGGCTACGGATTTTTTGTTGTGCTATTTCCTTTTTCGGAATTGCTAGCAAAACATTTTTGTTCAGGAAAAAAGCAAAATTGTAAATTTTTAACACATTTTCTTTGTGTTTCATTTGGCCCTCCCAGCATGAACTCAAATATTACTATAAATAATTCCAACAATAGCAGCAATTTTCAAGTAAAATTGATACTATTTGTGATTGTAAAATTGGTGCTTTTATTTTCGTTCATATTATCTTAATAAAGTATTCATCTAAAAAAATGACAAATATTTTCGAAAACGGGCAAAAATGATAAGTTTATTTTTAATTAGATATTCTTAACAAGGTAAGTATTCAACGTAGTTACAGGGCGTTCATGATAAATTTCACAAAATTTATTTATTTCAAATGGCAGGTGTTTTGATAGCTATCATTAGCCATTTAGCTGACTTCGGGCTTCACAGAGGGAAGGTTCACCAAAGTAGAAAGTCGAGGGGTGGGGAATAGAAGAGCAATTTACAGATGTAAGAGGCAGACAGACACAAAGGTAGAGAAAAAGGTAAGGTGAGTACTGTGAAAGGTGTCGAATATGACAAGCAGTCGGGCCATGGTAGATTGAAGTCTGAAGTCAGCTGCCGGTTTATAGACTTTTTTGCCGTATGAGTATACTTTACCCAGGGGGCACCACGTGGAGGTAAGTCTATTGCACACCCCAATTTCACAAAATTACATTTCATCAAAGGTGTTCACGAACACTGGACTTCGTTTAGAATTTTAAATCCTAGCTTATTAATAATCATGATAACAAAGAAAATGGAAGATTGAAATCCACCTGTTTAGTAAAAGGGGATAACTGTTGTCCTAATGATTCCCTCCGGTCATCCAAACGCAGAGATTCCTAAGTAATGTGAAGCAAATAACTGTGACTAAGAAGCCATTGTGATTGGAAAGGGACAATGTAGAGGGGGTAGATCACTCTGGCAGCGTAGTTTATCTTTTGTCGCCGTAGGTTGTTGAAAGATTCCCATTTCACTACAAAATTGTTTCTAATGAAGATCACAGCCAATACGAAACGCAAACAGACCACGTATATGTCAGTTTCTTTCGGCAAAGGCTCGCTAAATGGTCGGACAAAGGCGAAGATATTTCTGATCAAAGTAAAGTAAAAGCACAACTTCCAGAGGAATCAAGGGCGTGCCATGATTAGAGTCATACTGATAAAATTTCACTAAGTTGTCGTTCTTTTCAGATGTATGTTCTCTAAGCTCTATGTGTGATTCCTTTGTGGAAATTTTGTTTGAAGGAGGATTTGATTTAACTTGAACTCTTGCAGACCATGTTAATTAAACTTTGGAAACATTGGCAGTCATTTACTAGGCCATATGTCTGGTGACACAAGGATTCGTTCCTTGTCGCATTTCTGGGTGAAGCAAACAATTTTTATTAGATTTGTGATCCCACAGGGTCTGTGGCCGTGTGGGAACGCTAATGCCGGTCATTTTGAGAAAAATTACTTCGAAAATAGTGTATTTTCTTTATCCATTGAATTTGTACTAAATTCGGTATTTGCAGCACATTTACAACTTTTCCTGATGGGGTGTGATTTTTTTTATTCCAGAGCAACAGATAAGTACACTGTCAAAAAAGTACTTTGAGATTTCCCAAATAGAGTTGATTCATTGGTACAAAAGAAAAAAAGATTTTTTTGCTAAATGAATGGTGCACATTTTAGAATTCATGATTTTATTTACAGCATTTAAATTAATCTTTTTCAATTTTTGACTGTTGGAAAATTTTCCCACTTTGATTTAAAAGTTGATAAAAAAAAGGGTAAATAAAATTTGGGCTCTTTAAATTATTCTAAGTTAAGTAAAAGATGAATAAATCCTCTGTGGAAAGATTTTTCTCGACTTTCTTGCAAGCCATTTCTGCTGTTGGAACTTCCTCTCACAATAAATGTCAAAATTAACTATTTAATTAAATTTTATATCTTGTAAAGTAATTTAGGAGATAACTCTGTTTATATTTTAGGGAAAATTCAAGCGTTTAGCTTGTCAATTAGTTTAAGATGGAATTTTGTATTCGGTTAATTAATTGACGTTGATTTGCAAAGTACTTCAATTGCCATTGAATTTGCCGGCAGAAACATAAATATGCACACGTCGAATTATTCAATTTATTATTAACTTATCATAAAACGAAGAATTTGAGCTTACCATAATTAGCCTTTTAGTAAATGGCATTTTCCAATCTCGAAGGGGTAATAACTGCGCCAATACAAATAAAGTGCGGAAGAAGTGCACTCATATCTTCATATTGTATAGTCAATAAAGTATCACTAGATATTTCGATTGTTAAATGATAAGGAGTGGAGAAGCTAAATGATGCCTAGAGTGAATTCAAAGTCACGGATATTTTCACTGCGTTTGATATTTGAACTGGGGTGTGCAATAGACTTACCTCCACGTGGTGCACCCTGGGCAATGCATACTCATAAGGCAAAATAGTCTATAAATCGGCAGTTGATTTCTGACTTCAAGCTACCATGACCCCACTTTATGCCATATTCGACCATTACCACAGTACTCACCTCTCCTTTTTCTCTGCCTTTGTGTGTGTCTGTCGCTTTTACATCTATAATTCATTCTTCTATCCCCCTCTCGACTTTTTCACACTTTGATGTTCCTCCTCCCCTCTGTGAAGCCTGAAGTCAACTAAAGGGCTAATGATAACTACCAAAACGCCTGCCATTTGAAATAAAAATAAATAAATATTTAAATTTGCATTAGCAAGTAGATCGTTCAACATTGAGTGCTTTTTATTAATATGATTAGTTCCTCTGATTGAGGTGATTATGTGCCAATGATATCCCGTGCATTTTGACTAGCACCTTTACTTTTTGTTTTATTTCATTTTGCTTTCAACGCCTAAGAAGTCAAAATCGTTTTACAATATACAGATCATGATGTATAAGAGAATTTGGCCAAATCGCTTTCGGTAGAGCTGACACGGAAACTATGGTAACGAATATGATTAAAAATCAAGCTGTTAATATTTATGCTAGCCTAGTAGTACACGATCAAGGTTGTTTCGTGGAGTAGGTACTTGTGATTTCAAGCACTCTCCTCCGTCTTATCTGCTTCTCGAAGATCATGCAAACTGATTCAGACCAAATAAGTTCTCGCAGTGTCTTGTGGCCTTCGAAAGAACTAATGATTGGGAGGACACATTTTCGAATTTTGAACTTTCAACCGTATAGCAGTGGGCTTCTCACTAAATTCATATTCCAGAAGGCAAATTCAAGGACCAAATCAAGCAAAAATTTTAGGTCTTTCTCTTTGCTAATCTCCTTTTATTCCTCACTCTACTTTTCTCTCCCGCTTTGTCCAATTAAGACTAATGAAATTGCATTGAACCTTCTTGTTATGCTATCTTTTTGTTTCTATCTGTGCATATCTTAATTATAATCTATTTCTTTCGTTGACATTGTAGCGGATTGCTACGCTAGTAAAGCCTGACCGACTCAGAAATCTCTATGGCAGATTCTCCAACATCTAGCTAGACTCCCAGTACCAGCTAAGCCATAGCCCAGCTATAAGGGAAACAGATGTGTAGCACGGAGCACGGTTATTCAGTACGTATATTGATAGCGAAGTGTAATGTTGGCAAAGCGATTAGTTATCAGAAAAATCTAGCATAATTCGCGTGAACATCAATAGCTAAATATTTCTGAGTAGTGTTCTGTAGCATGATTTCTATTGGTCATTGATGAAGTGTCCCACAACATATCTACCAGATATAAAAAAATTTGCTTTAGTTATTGCTAATTTTTGTATTTTAATGTGTGCTTAATCTAAAAGTTTGCAAAATTTTAAGTAAGAATGTCGTTACCGATATACCAATTTCTCCCCTTTTTTATTACCCCACTCAAATTTTTTATGAATACATATCTGGAAAAATTCTAAATTGTCCGTCAAGTATTTTGTATAGCTACAGCAGTTCCGACCTCACAGATCTTAATATAATAGACTACCCAGAATAGAAAAGTTTTAGAATTACCTCTGACTCATTATGGACCATAATAATGTCTAGTGTTGTAGTTTTTTCGCCAATAATTTCGACTTCTAATACCATAATTTCATAAAGGTAACATTTTCAATTCTCAAAAGGTACGTAAAATTACATAGCACTGAAATTCATTACTTTTTTATTTATAAAGGTAAAATTATAATAACTGAAAAAGAATGAAACTTGTAGGAAACACATTTTTAATTATATTTTGATAATCTATTTACACATTAGCCATAAGAGACAAATTTATATTTATAAAATAAGCGAATACATTTTAAGTGATAAGCATTGCTAATGCTTCCTTTCCGTTAAGAGTGACTCTAATTTTCCTGTCCTTTCCTAAACCCATTACTAAAACCAATGAATTTGTCAACCATAAACATGACAAACTTACAAATAGACCTACCATTAGACGTTCACTTATACAGCGACAACTGATTGGCTAATGCCTATTCTCATTCGGCCAATTACTACGCGCGTGTTGAAGGTCACCCTGATAGCAATTCGCTTTTCAGAGGTGGAAGTAAGGGCTTTCGCCCAGGCCGTGTGCTGAATACCGTTACTAGAGAGCGCAGTAAATAGAGAAGTGCACGTGATGTGAATCGATTGGCTGAAAAGTGGGTTGGCTCGTCCACAACATACTGTATTCAAATCCAGTAGATATGCATCCCGTTTACAACTGTCCGGGACTTCGTTTGAGAACTCAAAGATGTAGCGGGAGGATTTTGGTTGTGCGGAAGTGTGGCTCAATATTTTGATTGGCACTTTTGGAATTGTCACTGAAATTGTAGCCTTGCTCTGCCATAGTGACAGTCTATAAAGTGCCTGACACGATTGAAGCCTGATCATCGTCGTTTGGATAATTGAACTTGTTTATAATTAATTAAAATCTGAATTATGATTACTCTCAATTTAATTTACATTTTTCTAAGTTTGATTTAACTTTATTTTGCATTAATTTTTCGTGGTGATTTTCATATTACAAAATAACTTTTTGGTAAATATCACATAAGCTATATTTCTTTGTCTCTTTTCACAATATCTTTCTCGTATTCTTTCACAAACAATTTATCCTGCCTTTTTATGAAAAGGTATCATTGTATTGCATTTTTAAAATTGTACCTTTTCTTCAAAAAATCATTTGTTATAATGTGTAAGCACAAAATATAGAACAGTTATTCAAAATACAGTTTTTGTCCCTTCTTATGATATATACTAACTAGTACTTTCAATAAAAATAAATAGCAATAATTGTTTGAAAAACCGTTCGGAATTGTGTATTAAACTGAAAAAAATGTTAATGTGATCCAGGAATTAATATTAGGTCATGAAGTAAAATGAGGTTAATGATCGGGAAAAAAATCTGCTAAAATTGGCATGACAACTTTCATCTTTGGACAGTTGGAGGTTCTTACTGAAACAACACGCCACGTCTCTGCACTCTAGACACCAAGATAAACGCATTACTACCTTAACTTATACATTTAAATGAATGGCAAATTCTGGCAAAAATAAGTAATTTGAGCTCTATTAATAGCCGCCTTAGATGTTATTCACGCTATAAAGAAGAAATCTAAAAGCAATTCTGAATAATGATCTTTATTGGACCTAAAATATTTTTTTATTTCCAGAAATCCTACCCTCTTCTGTAATATGTTTGCACACGTTTAAAAAGTAAAAGGTGATTACATAGTATTTAAACGCTAACTTTAAATGGATCAATGATTTTCCATATTGTAACTCTCACGCATAACTGAATTTAAATCTCCTATCTGATTTATGCCAAATCCCACGTCATCGGCAAATACGGAGAGTCCCATGGGTGTGTCTGAAAAGGTTCTTGGCTTATTTAGACACTACGACCAATCGAGGGTGGGGGGGGGGGGGGGGNGGGGGGGGCGGGGTTGCGGGACTGTCTCCCCACTGACATCATCAAACGAAATCAGCCACCCAAATTTGTACCCGTCCGCAGTAAATTTTGCACGAAAAGCAAATGAAAAGGACTCAATTTCTAAGCATATTTGAAAGAAGAAAACAGAAGGTATTAATAACTTGGGCAAAATTTCTTTTCCAGAAAACTAAATATGTCACTGTACTATGTTGACAATGACAAGGTAAAATGATTGCATAGCATTGATGCCTTAACTAAATTAATGGTGTTAGTGAAATATTACTGAAGTTATTAAGCCCTAATCGATTATTTCAAATTTCAAGTTGTGATTAACTATACACTTTGTGGCTTTACAGAATCCAATTCAACATTTAAAATATCGATAATTAATATAACTATGTTTTCAAATATTGGTCTAAGAGTTTTCCTCGTGAAACCGTTGATCAGTACTATTTGTATATCTTTAAATACAAAATTTTCAACGTTTACTGTGAAATTATTCTATATCAATGATTTAAAATCAAGTTTGCCGATAAGAATTTTCAGGAAACTTGCTTTAATGGGTTCCATTTGCTTCTAAATTTCAGTTAATATTATTCTATTTACGATTGATTAGGAAATGTCACTATAGGTGGGTTAATATATATATATATATATATATATATATATATATATATATATATATATATATATATATATATCAAAGGGCGGACTTTTTAATAACCCTTTAGTTGACTTCGGACTTCACAGAGGGGAGGAACGTCAAGGCCACAAAAACACATTCCAAGACATATCTTTGAGATCGCTTAGCTAATTTCGAGAGCCATTCCATACTTGAGGATATTCCCATCGAGATTGACTATTAATGTGTAATTGATGATTTTTTTAGAGATATTTGCAAATTTAATTTTTTTTTCATTTTCTTACAAATTAGTCAAACTTTAAATTAATACGGGTGAGTCTATCAGGGATTCTATTTAATCTCAGAAGGCAGAACATCTCAGGTAATACTCGCGTTATTAGTGCTATGTTTCTGAATTAGGTACACTCTAGTTTATTTTAGGACCAAAATTTAATCCCAGTGCGCGCCGATTCCCCAGAAGTTCAAAAAGTCCTCCATACATTATTAATTAAATTAAACAAGTACCCATCTAATTTAAGATAGCCTTTTTCTTAATCAGAAATTAAAAGAAGTGTTGCCATACCTTCTGCTCTGAATCAGGGGACAAACCAAATTTTTCATCTAATTTTTGGTGATTCTGTTTACAAACCGATGAATCAGCAAACAGCAGTAGCAACTTGATTAACTCTGTCCAATAATTAGGTGATTGTAACTGATCAGACCCGAAATTAGGTCATCACATATAACTAGATCGCCCATAGTGACTCATCACCTTGATAATTTATTCCATCAAGCACATCTCAAAGTTGACGCTTGTTTTCGAAATACACAATAGTGAATTCAATTTGAATCGTTAAAAGTCCTTAACTCTTGATTATTGCTGATTGGAAAACGAGATTGGTTGGAAGTAAAGTTAATAATGAAGATGATTAGTGTAACATAATTGAGCTGATTGAAGTCAGTATGATCATTGAAAAGTGGAAACCTTTGCCAGCATGAGTCAGAAGACACCATCAAAGGAAGCCCAAATAGCAATATTCTCTAAATATTTTCCGTTTGGTGAAAATTAATTAAATTAATTAATTGATTTTTTAAGGCGTGAAAAGTAGATTTTTGAGTTTTAGTTATTCCGATTTTAACTATAGTTCTTTAACTACCATAGCTTCACAAATCTCAATCGATTTCAAAAAAGGCAGAAACTTGATGAAAATTCCGAGATCCATATTTTCTGCAATAAATCGAATTTGATTTAGCTTAAAAGAAATTATTTCAAAAAGTTTCCTGATTTTAAATTCAGGATAAAACTAGTTTGCTCTTGACTATTAATCGACTTTCAGGCAAATTGAGTAATAATGAAGTTTGTGCTTAAAAGTTGGCACTAACTGAGTTAGTTTCAACTCCGCCGCTAATCATAATTTATACTAACTTACGGTTTTATAACCCCATGAGCCTATATAAACAAATATTCATTCTTTAAATTGTGAATAATTCCAGATTTCGACTAATTTCGACGTCTGTGAGACCCTAAATTAGATTTTGATAACCGACCTAAGGAGGTAAAGATAGTTGAAAAAAATAATTTCTAAAGAGCTTATCTGGTGTCTATTTCTTGACTCGCAAGTATCTCTAGTAATGGGTATCTTTGAACGAAAAAGGCATCTATCAAAAAACCAAGAACTCAATTTTTCCCCTTTCAACAAAAATTTATAATCGATTATCCGATGAAGAAGTTGTTAACGCAAATGTCATGAGATCTATGAAAATCGTGGAACCTATAGTCGTGTGATCGGCAAACTGTCATGATTAATTTTGATCCAAATGCGAGGCGATAGGACATGTATTTATCATAGTAGTAACTCTTGGCCCATACACCGGCTAACTAGACCAGGTGATGTGATCACTCCTGCAAATCCGCTTGGAATATTTTAAGGTAGTTAATTCCAAAAATTAAATTATTATTATTATTTCAAATGGCAGGCGTTTTGAATAGTTATCATTAGCCATTTAGCTGACTTCGGGATTCGCAGAGGGAGGAACAACAAAGTGAGAAAAATCCGAGACTGGGGGGGGGGAGAACAGAGGAGTGATTCACAGATGTAGAATAGACAGACAGACACAAAGGTAAAGAAAGGGTGAGATGAGTACTGTGAAGTTGTGGAAAAAGACATACAGTGGGGTCATGGTAGTTTGAAGTCAGAAGTCGAATGCCGGTTTATAGACTTTTTGCCGTATGAGAATACGTTGCCCAGGGTGCACCACGTGGAGGTAAGTCTATCGCACACCTCAATCCGTTTAAAATAGTTTAACGTATTTAATTCCAAAAATAAAAGCGATATCGTTGGTACCTGAAACCATCACGTAACCAAAATGCTCAGAAATTATTCGCCAATATTCGGAATATTTTATTTAAAAACAAAAAATCGATTCTGTACATTTTGAAAGATGGGTAATTTGTTGATAAGCTTCTCACTTGATGAATTCTAGTAAATTACAATCACTTATTATTTGCAAATTTAAAATCAAGGTTTATTGCTATAAAATAAGCATAGGAATAATTATTATTCATACACGACAAGTTCTAATATTTAAAATCTTTTTTTGTATAATTTTTAGGTAGATTCCTCTTTTTCTTCAGCATTTAGTAGCTTATTCATCACATAATGTTCTGGAATGTGCTGTGTGCATCCAATAACCTCCTAGCCAATCAGCAATAGTGCTTATGCAACGTAGAATATCAATGATAGTAGTCAATTATTAATTATATGAGCAATCTGACTGCATATTCATGAATTGCTTTACACATCATATAAATTAATTTCGAGAGCAATCTATTACTGGGGGGGGGATTTGGCCAGAGAAAACCGCAAAGATTTAATTAGAGCCCGTGTTGTGTAGTATCCACAACACCCTTCTCAATCATAAAGTAGTCACAAGTTTTGTTTTTTCTCTCAATCTATTATTTATAGACTGCCAACAGTGACAACAAAAGGTTTTTAGTTGGTTTGTTTGCAATATTTGACATTTAAGGTTTCATTTACTGCCAGGGTAATGTCTAATTGGTCTGTAATTTGGCTTTATTTCAATGGCTTTCCAGAATATCTTGTGAACCAAAGTTGATAAAAATGACACAACTCAGACTCCTTTTATTACAAAAAAGGTATCGCAGTGAATAACATGTGCGTGTGAAATGAATGAGCTTAATATTATTTAACTGACATCATGCACCATTTTGTAGACATTTCCGGGATTTTTACGCCATTTACGAAAACTGATATGCATAAATAAAGTAAGCACTAAAGAACTTGCAAATGAGAAATTCGTTTGGCGTTAATCTCA